CAGACACCACCCAGATCCAGCAAGGTCTTTCTTCTCTTTAATCCTTTCTTTGCTCCTCTTCAGCCTACCAGCCGCGGAGCTCGCTCTCGTGGCAGGAGGGAGGCTGGAAGGGAACCCAGGGGCGAGCACAGCGCTCGCTAAGCTAGGAGTTGGTCACTGACTGGAGGAAGGTGCCAAAGCTGACCCGGGCTCCAGCCTGAGAGCGGGCCGGGGGAGGGACGCGTTCTGCTTAGCCCGATTTCCACCAATCACAAACCACCCCGAGGAGCCAAGCGCCGGGAGAGGCTGAGCTGAATCGGCAGGAGGCGGGGATTGCGGAAAAGAAGAGCCAGTAGAAGCAAAGCTTCCCCGCCCCTCCGCTTTGATGGACTGTCACATTCGGACCAATGGGGAAATTCTCACTTCAAAGAAAGCAGGATTTACTCGCGAAGTTTGAGAGAGAGGCTGCGGGGAGGAGGAGGGGTCGAGACTGGGCCCTGTAAAGGAGCCTTGCTGGAGATTTGGGGGCCAGAGAGTATTCTTTGACCTCTGCGAGGAGTCACGTGGGCTTCCGGGGGCGGGGGCAGAAAGGCTGGAAAAGTTCCTTCCGGGTCAGTGATAGAAGAGTGAACTCCATGGAGTAGTTCCTGGTATCTATCTTTCCTGCATCTTCCTTGTCCCAGCGCGAGGTGATTGTGGTTTACTCGATGAGCTCCCAGAAGGGGAACGTGGCTCGTTCCAGACCTCAGAAGCACCAGAATGCGTTTAGCTTCAAAAACGACAAGTTTGATAAGAGTGTTCAGACCAAGGTAGGAACCTGCCTTTTGCACTAAATCTGACTACTCCGGGAAGGAATGGTTCCGTGGAGGGGAAAGAGGGAAATGAGAGGAGTTGGCTAGGGCGAATGTGGACCGCAGCCCAGAGTTAGTTTTGGCTGCAGTGCATCCCTTTCTAAAATGATATTCCCACGCCACTTCTTTGACCTGGATGTGTTGTCCCCTTGTAAATATGTTCGGCGTTCAACATTTAACTAACGGCGTTCTACATTTAACTAATCGTGCAGAGTGAACGGGACCCCCATCAAACCTAAAGTGCAGATGGGAAGATAGAGTCAAGCGCTCCCCATTTGGACCACAAATTTGCAGTAGGAAAATGATGGCGCGAGTGTCTTTTTCACATTTTGCACCAAGTTTATGCATTCACTATTTCTTTTTGGAAAATCCCAGACCCATAGGTTTATAGCGAGAATGTCAAAGCTCTTAAGCGCTCTTAGCCCCATTACCAATGTAATAGGGAATATCTGTCTCATTTGTAAGATTGTTTTGAGAATCAAATTATTTGATGAATGTAATAATGTTTGTTTTGCTGCTTATACTCCTTTAGCAGATTTCTTTAAGCTGAAGAAAATTCAAACTACAGCTAGCCAGAGGTCTTGGGTTGTATACAGCTTCTAATTTGCTGTTAGGTATTTCCTCCTATTCCCATAGCTGTATGGAGAGGAGATAACTGAAAACAAGGGCTGCTTGGGGGCCACCATCACATCAAATAAACCTGATATTAAGATAAACTGGAGCTCAGATTTACAACGTGTGTGGCTTAAGTGAGTCATTTAATATTTAATTTCTCTGACTCTTACTTTGGTCTCAAATGAGAAACCTGCCAATATTGTTGTGAGGCTAAACTAAATGATTGTGTATATATTACATATATATATATATATAAATGATCTGGATCATAGTACATGTCAAGCAAGTGATTAATTTCCCAACATTTTTTTAAGAAAGCGAAATGACTGTTTAAGGTAACCCGTGACCTTTTCCTATCCTCTGTCTTCCCTATACAGACATTTAATGAGCATTTTTCATGTACAAGGCCCTACGCTCATGAGTATACAGTGTTCAAAAGAGTTGACTCTGCCTTCAAGGAACTTACAGTTTTCTGGTCATTGAGCAATAAGCACAAAGACAGATAATTATAAATTATGATAAACAAATTCTGATGAAGGGAAGGACAGTTGAGTAAAGAAGATTGAGGAGGAATATTTTCAATTGGATGCTCAGAGGACTGCCCCTTTCCCTTAATTAGGTTCAGATTCAGAAGTTTGTGACCATCATCAATAGGTAAACCAGAATAAAAAGCTGTGCTATTCCAAATGATGTCTATTTTGTCCTTTATTCTTACTTTAAGTTTTTGCACAAGCGTTTAATTCTGATTGTTTTTCATAATGTGATAAAAAGCAGTTTTAATAACTATTTAGCTACAGTGTAGCTTCTGTACTTCTTGTACTTGTACTTGGTCTGTAAGTTCTTCCTAGACTTCTTCTACTTTCCATTGTGCATTTTCTGGTTTTATCTAACAACCATGTCATTATGGTCTTAAATTTTTTCATGAGTCTCAAGTTCAGTCACTAAGTTTCATTTTATCACTTTTATCATTAATTCCTTTGTCTCTTTTAAATCATGAGGATGTCTCATTTGTCCATTATTAGAACCTACCAGGTGCTTTGTTATTGGAGGTTCTAACAAAAACAGCAAGAAGTATTTTACTGTTAAAAGATCATTAGGTTGATGGTTCATCTGTCTAATGGAGCACTAATAATAGTTGGTTGCATTCATAACAAATTCTTTAACCAGTTATGTGCAGCTGTCTAAAGCCAAGATTTTGTCAGAAGCATCTGACCCTGTTTTCATTCCTGTGTTTTATACCAGAAAGTTGTTTGATTCAGTGACATCTTAACAAAGGAGTGGTAAGATGTGTAACTCTTCTTGAAGGACTGTAGTAACAGTTGACTACTTGTACCTCATTATTTTGTAGGTCCTGCATGATAGTTCCCTTTCTCCCCCTCTGCCAAACTTTCAGTTTGGCAGGACCGAAATTAGAAGTTGGATAATGACCAATGTTTTGTTGGAAAATTTGTCTAAGTAAAGCACCTGCTCCCAAAAGGAGACAAGTAAAAACTATCTTCATATACTTGAATATATTCTAGAAGAGGAGAGAAGCTTGTTCTATGGGATTCCAAATGGCCAAATTTGAACCAAAGGGTCAAAGTAACAGAGATGGATTTCAGCTTAATATAAGGACACAGTCTAATAGTGAGGAGCGTTCACTAGGATTTTGTAACCTCCTCTTCACTGGGGTTATTAAAAGAAGCCTCTATACCCATTGGCCTGCAGTGCCCTCTCATGACCTGCAGAGTTGAGGTGGAGATGGGACTAGTTTAAATGTCTTCTAGTCATTTTGGTACTAAAATGTTGATTATATCAAGACAGCCTTGTGTCTCTTACTGGAAAGGCAGTGACATGTAATGGAAGGACACTGGGCCAAGAAAAAAGAGCCACATTTTAGCCCCAGTTAACGTTGTTTATTTTGCTTTGTGGTATTAGACAGTTTACATATAGCTTTTAACCTATACTACAGGGTTAATACTATCTCTTGTCTTACTTTTCTTTCATGTTTGCTGTGGAGATCGTTATAAAAATATTTTTAAGAAATAGTGGTACAAATATGAACTAAGCATAATGCATATGATAGTTTATGTGGACTTGCAGTTACTCAAAGCCTAAAAAAATTAATTAGGGAAGAAATGCATATTTGTTGAAGAATATTGAAACAACAGAGAAATGTATAAAGTAAAAAGTGAAAGTACCTTTTTCCAGGCCTATTCTTCTTCAGGTGTACTCACTGTTAGCAATTTGATATGTATGTTTTTAGACATCTAATACAATATATATAGTACATGTGTAATAAAAACATGTTTCCTTTCTCATTTAGTAAAGTAGGTATGTCAGAACGTAGAGATAAAGCTCATTCTTTTTAATAGCTATATAATATTCTATAATATATAGGTACATTAACTTATTTAATTGGTTTCCTATTAATAAACATGAGTTGTTTTCATTTTTTCATGATGACAAATAAAGCTGCAGTGAAATTATTGTAGTCGCATATTTGTTCAACATATGTTTTGTGGTTCCAAACATTGTGCTAGATGCTAGGGGTATAAGGTTGAGCATGATATACAGCCATGCCTTTAACTGAAGCTTTGGTGGGCACTGTGACAGGCAATCAAATAATCTTTCAAGTATGTTAATACAAAAGGCAGCAAGAGATACGAAGGAAAAGCCTAAGGGAACCCTGAGAGTGTCTAGCAGGAACTCTTGATTAAGTTTGTAGGGTTTAAGAAGGCTTTCCTGAGATCTGAAGGATGGATAGCACTTAAGTAAATGAAATGAGAAGAGCATATATTATCTTCTTAAGGATGCTTTTTGTTTCACATGTGTGGTTAGCATTGTTTTTACCAGCATGTCTGAAAGTGTTAGGGCCCCAGGATCACTTGATCTTCTTGATAGGGCAGGAATTAATTTCATGGTCAATTCTAGATCTCACTTTTAGGGAGTCATAGTATATATTAGTATAAAGTATCCAGATGTTTTGCAGTTCATAAAAAGTTATTTAACCAAAATTTGTTTGGCTTCGGAATCCTTTTGTTTACATAATACCTGTTGAACATGAATTAATTTGATGGGGATACACATTTTGGGAAACTCTGGTTATTACCTTGAAATGGAAAAGGAAAATGAAAATCTGAGGTTATACTTTCTATAAATAGTTTTGGAATAATAGCTAATGCTGGGTATTTATGTGTGTTAGCCACTATGCATACTTGATATATATTATCTAAGTTGATCTTCAAAATAACCCTAAGATAGAAGCTACTATTATCCCATTCTGCATATTGGGAAGTTAGGACTTAGAGGTGAGTGGTGTACCCAAAGTTACATTACTAGCATGTGGCTATCCATTGATTAGGTGAGGTCTATTCTAGGAGACCTCAAAGAACAGGTAAATCAAAAGTCCCTTTTTGTGTACGTGTATTGGTTGTTGTTTTTTAATACTGTATTTTTGTTTATAGCAATGTGAGACCATATTAGGTTTGGAACAGAGATGAGCTTTATTGCCACTGCACCTAACAGTACCTGTCTGAAATGTTCCAGAGAGTCTCTCCTCACAAGGTGTGACCCCTTGTGTGTCACATATCACAGATATGGGCTGGTTGGAGCAGGTCCCATCTAATCAGCCAGGGCTCTGGAGTAGGGGTGGGGCTCCTCTCACTCCATGTGAAAGCAGATGCTAAGCAAGTCAGGTCCCTCGGCTCCTGGTTTAGACAGAAAGCTGTCTTAGGTTTAAAGTGGTATGATTACATTTATGCAGCAGAACAAGATTCTGTGTTTACAAGAAACTTTATTCACAATAGTCAAAAACTGGAGGGATAAAAAACAACCAAATATCCTTCAACAAGACAATAGATAAGCAGTTTGTTTCAATCAAATAATGCTATTAAAAATGTTCTGATACTTGCAAACATGTACGTAAATCTCAAAAACATTGCGTGGAAGGAAAGAAGTCAGATGCTTTGCACATCTATAGAAATCTAAACAGTGGTTGCCTTGGGTGGTGGGAATATTGACTTAAGGGCTCAAGAAAACTTTCTGAAGTGATGAAAACAAGATCACAAGAATGGATGCACTTATCGAAACTCAAATTGAGCATTTAAGGTCTGTCTGTGACACTGATATAAATTTTACCTCAATTAACAATAGATATTACAGCAAAATGGCTGATTAACCACTCAAATGTCATTAAGTTCTGTTTTTGTTGCTTTTTGTTTGGAGAAGTTGTAGAAAACTATCTTTAACAGCCCTTTTTTAAAAACAATACTATTGACTTCTCCAGAAAGAAAACAAATGACTGGTTGACATTGTAACATATTGAATATCTTCATTAACCACAAGTCATAATAATTCTAATA